AAGTACAATCTACTCTATTTTGAAGGATGCCTATATGTTCCAGAAGGAGAAGCACGTTTACGTATTCTTCAACTTGTCATGACTTTCCAGCAGCATGACATTTTGGATATAATAAGACTTTGGAGCTGATATCTAGGGATTTTGGTGGCCTCAAATATGGAAGGCAGTCAAAGATTTTGTACAATCATGTGATGTTTGCTCAAGATCAAAAAATCCTCATCATCAACCTTTTGGACTTCTTCAGCCATTACCCATTCCAGAACAACCATGGTCTTTTGTTTCTATGGACTTCATCACAGATCTTCCAATCTCAAGTTCTTATGACTCTATATTCGTGATAGTAGATCATTTTATCAAGATGGCACATTTTGTACCATGTACAAAATCTATCACAGGTGAAGAAACAGCTAAGCTCTTTCTTGACAATATCTATCGCTATCATGGATTATCCAAGGATATTATATCAGATCGGAGAACTCAATTTGTATCAAGATTTTGGTGGACTCTTTTCAAAATTCTTAAAGTGGATATAAAACTATCTTTGGCATTCCATCCTCAAACTAATGGATAAACAAAGCGTGTTAATCAAGTTTTGGAGTAATATTTAAGATGTACCATTAACTACCAACAAGATGATTGGACAACTCTTTTCCCATTGGCAGAGTTTGTTTACAATAACACGATACATTCTTCTACAAAATAAATACCTTTCTTTGCTAATTATGGTTATCATCCACGACTTGATACTTTTGACTTTTTAAAAGTTGATAATCTTGCTGCGAAAGATTTGGCGATTCATTTATCAGAGCTACATGCAATGATGAAGGCGCACTTAAAAGAGGCTCAAGAACAACAAAAGATCAATGCAGATGTCTATCGAAAGAAACAACCACCATTCGTCTTAGGTGATAAGGTATGGCTACTTTGTTGCAATATCAAGACCACTCGTCCTTGTGATAAGTTGGACTATCGAAGGCTGGGACCATTTTTTATTTCTGCACAAATCAATCCAGTTGTATATCGTTTACATCTACCGGAGTCAATGAAAATCCATCCAGTATTCCACGTGTCTCTTCTTGAACCAAACAAGACAGTGGACATACCAAGAAGACAACAAGATCCACCTCCTCCTATAGAAGTGGACAATAATGAAGAGTTTGAAGTAAAAGAAGTTTTAGATTCAAGGCAGCGTCGAAATAAATTGGAATATCTTGTCCATTGGTACGGATATGATATTAGGAAACGCACGTGAGAGCCAATAAAGAATCTTACAAATGCAGCAAAGGCGGTGGAGGCTTTTTATCGACGACATCCATCAAAATCATGATAAAAACCTTCTTTATAAAAGAAACAATATCTAGGCAAGATAACATTCTACTTTCAACCCTTATTTGTAGCTTCTTTGTAGTTGTGACGCTCAGGAGATGGAGAACCAACAACTAGTGGATTCGACTCAAGAGCCTTTATTTGCTGACATGCCAAACGAGACATTGCGATTGTCACTACCTTCAAAACGACACAATCGAGATGGAGATCTTCAAGAATGACATGTTCTTCCTCGAATAGATGGCAAGATACAACGTGTTTGGTATCACGATTTGGGAAGGGACTCTCGATGTTTGGTGATTTTGCTAGAGGTAGGAACAATTCCTGATGGTGTTCCAAATGTTCAATTTGAAGGAAGTTATGAAGGCCTCAACAATGATCAAATAATTGGGTGGTCTTCCCGCCTTGGTATGGGACAGTACCGATGGTTGAAATGCCCTATCAATCATCTTCAAAGAGAATAAAGATCAGAGTATGTGGCGAATACAATTCGTCGCATCATAGATTTCTTCAACATATGATGACCACTCCTCGTGGAACTCGTCCCTAAAAGGAGGGATAATGTCATGGACATACTCATGTAAGCTAGTAATTACATATACAAATAAGTGGAAGTAAGTAAAAGTAGGTAAAAATAAGTTAATTCGATAGTATTTAATATGGAAGCTTCTTAGAGGCTTCATAGACACTGCTTTGACTTCATAGGTGTCTTTAATTGATTTTTTGGATTAGAAACGTGGTCAACAAGTTGGCCATGTGCCACACATGTTGTTAGCTTGAAGATCAAGCTAACTATGTGGCCTACACGTAGAAAAACTTGCCTTGTAAGTCAAGGCATGTGTCCTACAAAGTCAACACATATTAGAGGTCCTATAGAACGTTGCCACATAGCCCCTAGTTAGATAGTATATATAAAGACAAGAGTGAAGCCCTCTTCACTCTTGTCAACTCCTTTCTTGCTTCTAGTCTAGTTTCAAGGGTCTCTAGTTTTCTTGTCTTTTGGCAATAGCCATTCTAGTTTTTCTTCCAATATACATACTTGTTTATTTATATTTTGTTACCTTTCTTCGAGTGAAGGCTCACTTGTCTAAATTTCTTTTTATCGAGCTCTTGTCCTTAACAAAAAATCCTTATAAAATCTTTTAGAATCTTTTAAAATTTAATAAAATATTTTAAAATATTTCTAAAATCTTATTATTGGATGTCTATAATATTAACCTAAAAATACATATAAAAATCAAAGCAATATCTATAAAGCTTTTAAAAAGCTTCTTTAGAAGTTATTATGAAATTTATTTATTTTTAGCCACTTCTATTTAATCATATGGATAATTATTAGAAAAAATATGTATATCCATGATAAAAATAGCATGCACATTCACAGAATGTCTTTTCTTTGTGACAAAAAATATGCCTCTGTGATTTTTAGAACACTATCTCAAGGAAAATTGTATCTCACTAACAACTTTAGTGCATTATTTGAAGCCAAGTAGGCTAAAAGATTGACTAATTTGAAGTCTTATTGAAACATTTGGCCACTACAAATACTATTATTTGAGTGATAAAATTATATAAATCATCGATTTAGTAAAAAAATACATAGTGCATTTGCCAATACTCCAAATCTTTCTCAATCTTCTTATATTAGCTCTATTTTTGTTTAATTCCAGATGCTCTAGTACTAAGATTAATTGCAAAGAAATATCCATTTGTAGACAATAGCTATTTCTTTTTTAAAATGAAGTAGTATTTAATGGTTGAAAGTAGCATCTAAAAGTCCTCTTACAATGGTCTTGACATTAGGTAAAAGTTAGCATCATCTTCATTAATAAAGTAATTTAAAATCTAATGTTATAATTTGAGTATAGGATTTTAATTGAATATAAAGCAAGAATTATTGATTACACTATAAACACTTGCAAGTTCTATTGCATCATTAAAGTTAAAGAAGTTGTCCAAAAACTGATGTCAACCCATTGGCAGCATTCTTCAAACATTTCATTAAATTTCTCATTAATTTGTAAAATTATTCAAGATCTCAAAAATTTTGTTGTTTTTTTTTAGCAACAACGTATGGTGTTAAGAAAAATGATATGGGATTAAAGGAGAAAGATGTAAGAAGTAAGCAATAAGGTTTTTAATATTTGAACTGCATGTCTTTTGATATATTGATTTCAAAATCATCGACCTCATAAGATAGGTGATTTGGTGAAGTATCAATTGATATTTTGAAATATAAAGAGATACTTTGAACAAATATAATAATTGAAATATTACATGAAAGTAGATGTTTGAAATTTTCTAATAAGAATGGAAAATCTTCCTTCTTCATCCAAAGACCTCATTCAACAAGATTCTATGTTCTTGGAATACAATGCTCCTAGAAGCTCCACCTTTATTTTGTTGTAGATATCTTAATATATCATCGAACAATTAATGAAGTGAAAGAATTTTATAATGAACTTAGAAGCATCATTGGTTTTTAATAATGTAGTTGTTATTTGCTTTTGATTTGTAATCATTCTCCACACCATAGAATAGGCCACAATATTCTCAAGTAGATTGTGAGAGTAGAAAGGATTCAGAATTTCAAGATTCCAACTATAATTTGTATTTTTGCACATCAATTTTCTTATAAGATGTAAATTTTTTTATACATTTATCAAACCATCTTTATTAGTGAGAAATTATATACTAATAAGATTATACATCATTGTATCCAAAAATTATTATTAAAAATTTGTTTAATCTATTCTTTTAGAAAATAATTTTACATTAAAAACATCTCCTATAAAGTCTCATTATTTTTATTTTTATTTTAGCTTCTAATACATTTATTGTAATTCTATCCAAGTCTCAATTAAAAATTTGTTGATTTAGAAATATTTTTCATAAATAAAATATAGTATTCTAATTGATGAAAGAAATTTAAAAACATAAATTCTAATAAATATATTATTTTACATATGTACATATTTTTATTTTTTACTTTATATTATTTATGAATTTTTTTAGTAATTTATATTAAATATTATTTTTAAATTAGTTATTTTTTATTTATACTAATTTTATTTTTATAGAATATGATACATTAGAATGTTAATAATAATATCAGTTAAAATTCTCAATTAATTTTTTTAAATAAATCATGCATTTGTACATCAAATCTTGAACTTTGAATTGATTCAATTTGTATAATCTTAAAAAAAGTGTTCTTGGCAATTTTCGAAAACATTAGCTTGAAATACTATCAGAATACCAAGTTTATCTTTTCAGATGCAAATATGAGAACATTAACTTTCTATTTTGAAAATTATGTACACTGCATTTCAAAAGCAACAACTCATCATAATTTATCATATTTAAAAATTCAATAAAACACATGGAAAGTAGATATGTGACCAAACAACAGTTTCAAACGAGTCTAGAAGATATGTAAAAATATAAATAAATAAATAAAGAAGAAAAAGAAAAAGGAAAAGAGAGTAAATCATCGAAGGAAACCAAGCCGAGGGAGCGTCCAACGTGTCAAGCTGCCAACTCAGCACAGTGGCATCCTGCCACCTGAGCACCAAAACTTCCAACCCAGCCACGAGCACTACACGTGTCCAAGTCTGTTGAGCATGGGTGGAGTACACCCATCCCAGCCACCCAACCCAGCCCAGCCCAGCCAAGATCCCGCACTGCTTTACGAGGCTTGTTTGCCGAGCTTTGGACTTGCCGCGATGCTGGTGGTCGATGTGGGCTCTCTCTTGGAGCTCAACCCAACAATCTGCAGTTTTTAAACTTCTGCATGCAAAGGACTGAAATGGCGATAGTGCCAGCCTCGGAAACCAAATTTTCTGAACAATGCGGTGCGCTCAGCACAATAACTTTGCTCATCGACTGAAGTTGGGGGAAAACTGTGACCTGGGTAAGTTGGGTAAGCACATCGCAAATTGTGTTCCTTGTGAGTGTTGGATGTTGGATCCTTCTTCTTTCTATTGTCGCCAAGAATCTGAACGCCCCGCAAGTTACATGGACCAAGATTCTGGATTTTGGATGTTGTTGCAGTTGGGTCCCTACAACCAAATCAAGATGAGACCGGATCGACGTGACTAATACCGCAACGGGGAACCTCGTGTGTGTTTTCTCTTGAATGAGAGTCACATGTTGATGTTTCTGAACTTGGAAATCGCCTATTGGTTTGAGTACTGATAGTTTTCTGCAGTTGCTATGCAGACGGGTCGAGTTGCTTGCAGCCTTCGCGTCAAGTGTTGCCAAGATCTGATGGTTGTAGAATGTTGCTGCTTCCGTGCAAGGTTGGTTGTGTGTTTTCTGCCAGATTTGTTGTATGAGATGCAGCGGATACTTTTTTGCCTTGGCTAGGTTTTGTTGGTTTTTAACATGATATGCGTAGAGATTTGTACCTTGTTTCTGTTCTTTTGGGTGATGCTACAGAAATGAATGTTATGAGAAAGTGTGCGTCCAATCAAGAAACCCTTACCTAACGGGCTGCTAGCACTTTCCCAAAAGTCTTGGATTTCTGTAGTCCACTTGGCTACCTGTTCTCGGATTTTTCAAGTGAGCAGTCGTTTTCAGTGCATTGAAGCTAGAGCCTGCCGAAAGAAAAACCAGACATACAAACAAATGAACAAACAAACAGAACCCTGATATTTTGAAGGACTATCAAAATATCAATTTTGAAACGTGCGCTTAGGTTCGAATATCACTAATAACACCTAAACTCATAAATGCTCAAGTTCCAAGTGCACAAGTATGTTGATTGGTTGTGCGAAGTTTGAGTGCGGAATCTGTCGTGGAAATAGTTACAGTTGCTAAGGATATGGGGATTGTTTATTGTCAAGAAGTTGAGAATCAACGGCAAGTGATGTGATTAACAATCACGTCTCACTGAGGATAGCACGATTTGCCGTGGTCTAATTGAAGTTATCATTCAAGTTTGTAAGCTGGGTTCAACTTGCTCAAGATGTACGAAGTTTTTAGGTGACTGCAGTTGTCTGAATCTTATGTCGTTGGTAGTTTAAATAGGAAAAGTTCTTTTCCATCTTTACTTCTGGTTGAGGCATTTGTTTGCTTTGTTCGTGCTCCTTGCCCAGGTTGCACTGTGATAACTGTTGTTCGGTTATAAACATGATAACTCGTGGAAGTCGCACGTACGCAGACTATGTGCTTAGTACCTATAACGTACCTCGATCAATTTTTTCTCTATTCTTAATCAACTAAGCATCATTCTAATCCACCAATTTGATCAAGTGGTTTGATGACTGCAGCATTGGGTATAAACTGACAGGTACTTATTCTTCAGAAAGACCGTGATTCGGGCTGCGATGCTTGGTGAAATCTAGTAACCAGTTATGTAGGAGTAAAGAGAATCAGCCTCTTTACGATCAACCGTGTTACCATTTAAAACACTTCGTCTTACTGTCTGTTGTTGATTCATATATATATACATGTAAAAACAGCAATATATGTATATTGCTGTTTATCCCTATAGGTTATGAAGAACCTAAGGTTACTGATATAAGTTATAACTTAGACTTGAAAGACTGGTGCAGTAAATACTAAAAATCGGTGTACTGAACTAACAAAGTGTAAGTTGCAACTGTGTACTCGGATCTCTTTGCGCTTTTGAGATTTTACCCTCTTGCAGGTCTGATTTTGCAAGATGTTAATCTGTGATAGCAAAGTCAGTGTTACGATTCAGATAATATATGGAGGCCTTTTGTGATTGAATGCCATGGCTTTAGTGTTTAAGCTTTGCACTTATTGTGTTTACCTGACCACGTGTTTGAAATCTGCTGTCCAACCAGCTTGACCAGTGCAGGCAAAGTTTTGAATCCCTTTTGATACGCTTGTTGATGTCTCGTAGTATCTATAATCGGCGTATCTCTCGTTTACTACCTGCTATCCCCTGGCAAGCAAAGAGCCTTGCAAAGAAACAAACGATTAGATATGTGGTGCTTTGAATATCACTGGTGTGCGTGATCTGGTATTCCATGCACTTGCAGTAAGTTGATCGCTTGCAGCAAAAACTGATCCAGCTTTCAGTGGTCAACGCTTCATTTTAACTTGCTTAAGTTATTCTAGTAGAAGTTACATTTGTTGCTGAGATTTTCATATTTATCTTGACTGTTCTTTCCTTCCTGCAGTAACAGATTAATGAGCTTGCAGAAACCCATGACTTGGCGGGAGGCGATCATTTGGAAGACTTTTAGGTACAGTAAACTTTATCCTTTAAGTCTTGTGTTGTGTTAAAGCTATAAATATGTTGATGTGATAAACTGATTCAACTTTGGTTTATTGCTATTGAGAGGTGTATGGGATAATAGTTTTTGGGCTGAACAAAATGAACACGTCATCATGATTCTTAAGGATTTAGCTTTAACCGTTTCAAAGTCTACTGTGTGTGAATTTGACTCAATCTTGAAAAAAGTGGAGGTTTACTTTAGCAAAGCCACAGCACATCCAGAGTAGAATTGCTCTGAGTGTTCTTTGCCTGTAACAAGTTCTAGTGTACCAACTTTCTCACACCACTTCAAGTTTTTTTAAGTAGTCTTCCTAAGAATGAGAGACTCAAGCTAACTATTGACTTACAGGAATTTGACACTACGCAACAATATGATTTCATGACTTGAAGTTACTCATCACTGGTGTTGTAAGCCCGACTGACAGTTCATAGGTATCAACAGGATGTAAGTGTATTCGAAATATTGAGAGTCTCTTCGTGTAAAGGATGTATCGGTGCTGGTTTGTGGGTGGTGAGTTCGAGAGGTTTCAAGTGAATTCGGTAGGTTGCTAATTTTCTACCCCTTGTGCAAAAATAATCTTGAAGTACCACTGATAACGGTGGATAACAATTTAGTATTGACTAATTAAACTGCTTACAGCAGATTCCAGCCATGTTCCATTCTGAACATCAGAGCTGTTTTTGACTTCGACGAATAGTATTACGTGCAATAGCTTGCAGAAACTCTGCTTACCTTCAGGTGTGTTCTCGTTTGAAACCAGTTTGCTACAAGTGATTTTGCTTCTTATGCCCACTCAGAGTAAAAAACTAGCCAGCACTCGAGTTGTTGAATACCAAATGAGCTCTGAACTTGAGATCGATACATTGTTCGATTAATGCTTGCAAGAACTTGTATTCGAGAAGAGCAAACTTGTAAATAATCTCAACAATTCAGTTTCTGTTTTAGTTCCAATAGACACCTGAAAACTGTGCTATTGTATAATCTGATGCAACAATCTCAATCTTAGTGCCCATAAATATTTACATAAAACAATTATTTACTTATACTGAAAAGTAATGATACTTTTTGTAATTCAATCCAATTAGCACAATATCATTGTTTTATAATCCATTATGTGCTTATATTTTTGTAAAAAATGTGTAACTTTTGATGTCCTAAATATACAATTTTTGTAACTACTCTTGACAATAACAAGTTGTAATACACACATGCATGTCTTAAAGCAGTTTGAGATGACATAGTTAATTATTTCTTAATCTCATTTCACTTAATATACTTGAAAATAATAATAATAAATAATAATAATAATAATAATAATAATGGTAATAATATATTGAACATTGAAAATCCTAATTTTGTCTCAAAATAAGAAAAATATAAATGTTTTATACACATATATTTGTCAATATCAAAATAAAATTATGCTAAAATATTTTATTTATAAATATTTTTAAAATACTATGTTAAATTTATAAATGGTGATTAAAAAATAAAATTGTGATTTGAAACAAACACGTCTAAAACAATAACATAGAGATTTTAACATAAAATATTAGACACAGATATATTGGTACCTTGTGTAATCAAATATACATATAAACACCCAAACATATATAATCTTACAAACATGCTTTGTTTAGGGGTACTAAAATATTTGTGTCCATATATATATATATATATATATATATATATAATACTATATATAGTATTTTATATACTATACTATATATATAGTATTACTATATATATAGTATATATATATAGTATTATAAAAAAAATAAAGTTAATTCACATTAATCCTTATTAATAATATATATACAATATTTTGTATTCATATACAATTGTAAACAAAATAGAATCCAAACTTGTAAGATTTATATATAGATATGTATGTAAGAATATGCATGTATTTGTGTGTGTGTATACATATATATGTATATATATGATCAAAGGGCTATCAAAACATCTAAGAAGAAGTACCAAAATATCTATGTCCAAAATGTTTTTTAGATATAATTGTTTAATTTTTTTATCACCTTTTTAAAAACGTGTGTAGTATACCAAATGCTTATAGATAGTAGACAATAGATCATTGTAATAACAATTTGTTGAAAGATTCATGTACATTTTTATTTGTATGTATAATCACTTTAATAGTGCTACTTATATGAAGATTTTCAAAATTCAAACAAAATTATAAAATTTCTCTTCTAATAAATGTGATTAAATATAAAACTGAAGTCCATAGTTTGTTTAAATTATATTATTACTCTAACTAAATAATTTTCATGAGTGTTAAATTACACAAATTATTTATTTTTAAAATAATATAATTTAAAAAATATTCCAAATTACATATCTTGATTTTATTATATAAATATACAACATATACATATATACAAAAGTATACAACATCTTAGAAAGGTTTTGGATTGCCCATTAGAAAACTTGTAACCTTTTTACATGCATTCAAATTTTATTGGTTCTTTCTTTTTTTTTCTTTTTCTGGGTTGGGACATACATACATAATGAAAAGGACAGATGAAACGAGATGATGATTGGTTCGAGATGATGATTGGTTCGAGATGACCCTAAACTACCAGATGACGGCAATAGGTACCCAAAGCGAATGCAGTGGTTATCCCTTGCAGTAAAATCTCCTTCATACCTGATGGAAACCTACGGTTCAAGTGGTTAACCCCCTCGATGTTTCAAAAAAACAAAAAAAACAAAAAACAAAAAAACAAAAAAAAAAAGGAAAAAATAGAAAGAAAGATAAGGATAGATGAAACGGTTTCAGTAACTATCAAGATATTTATTATGTTTGAATGATTGTTATGTTGTGCGAAGCCCGATGATGAAGAAGTGATAGAGTTTGAATGCTGTAGAACATTTGCAGCAGGATCATGCTATCCATGGGGTTCCATTGGGGCGTAGCAAACACGCCGCGATGCTTCAGCTCCATCTAAATATGACGCCCTTCATCGAACCTGCACACACCCACACACCCACTGGTCTCACTTCTCCGACTTGGGTTCTCAGTTTCTGGCCACTACCGACACTGGATTTCGGCACAGACTGGTGTAGCAGTCGCTCCGAGATGGTCTGTTTTGTGAGACTAGTCTCGGATGGAAGGAAACTGCGGTGTTGAAATTAGGGGGCGACTGTCATGGCGAATGCTCCTTCACGGAAAATAGAGCATTTGGATCATTATACAGCATTGTGTCGAGAGTGCTACACTGCCGTGGCAGGATTCCGATCTCATTTGGCTTGTTCGGTGTTCTGACCCTGAGTTTCGCCCTGAATCTTACCCTGAGTTTCACCCCTGGTTGGATGGTTGCTTCGCTGCCATCCCGCTAAGTCGATCCATTTAGTCACTTGGCTTGTTTGCGGTGTGATCGATTCTACTTTTTCTTTCTTTTTGTTTGATTTACTTATTATTGTTTTCTTCCCTCTTGCTTTTCTGTGTTTTACGTACCTATTCTGGTGCTCAAGAGGCTTAATACTGGATTTAGAATAAATGTTAATTGAAAATGTGAATCTATATTGTTTTAGAGTGGTTGAATTCAAAAGTAGTACATAATGTCAAACAATTATTTTAGGAGAATATGAAATAAATCCACCTAAATTTTATATTGATCCACCACAATAGCACCACAAACATCACCACAAAGGTTCAAAAACCCAAGGCTCCTTAAAAATAGTGCATGCAAGCTTTCTTGGTTATGTCTAAGAAGATTGATTTTTTAGCTAGCATACAAGCTTTTACTTCAATCCATCTCATTTGTAGCATTTGGTTAAAATACCTCAAAATTGCACTCCTACCTCTGTAATAAGAGATATAAAATAAAGATACAAGATTAGGATCTTGAATGTGGCACTTGTGTTTCATAATTCAACCATGAAAAATGAGCTCTAAAGCATATTGGTGTATACTGAACGAGTAATTGGTGGTAAGAAGATTTATGTGCGATTGTCTATTAAAATCGCATGTTTTCTTACTTTTTAATTAGAGAAGTAATTACAAAGATTGAACCATAGGGATAAGGTGGGGCAATTTAATATTTTTATTTCTTTTAAATTTGTAAATCTTTTTATATATTGTGTTTGTACATTTTTCTTATTTAGGATCATTTTCTAATAATTTCTTCTTTTCTATAGCTTAGGATTTGTCTACAAACTTAAAGATAGATTATATATATATATATATATATATATATATATATAATATTATTATTATTATTATTTATTTTTATGTTTTCAAACCATGTATTTATAGGCACAAGCATTCCATTTTATTTTTTTAAGACTAAATTAATCTTGAATATTTTAAAATAATAAAAATATATCTAATTTTACTTCAAATTAGTTACAAATAATATTTTTTTCTTAGATTGGCAATAATTAAACCATAAATAAAAAAAACTTTTGCTTGTGTATTTGAAATTTATTTATTTTTATTGAAATACCATCTATACATAAAAATAAATTTATAAATTAGGTTATATATAGGAGTTTCTTAAAAATCCAAAAAATATGTAAAGAATTGCCGTAATTCTTTTATGTAGATAATTTATCTATATTTTCTTATTTTATTTTTAGAATAAATTTTAAAGTAAAATAATTTTTATCAAATATTTATAATATTTAAATAGAATCTAATACACTCAAGTTATAGAATTTTACACTTTGTTTTTATTGAGACGGATGTTTAGTTAAGTATGATGAGGTTGACAAAGAACAAAATACAGAAGAATAATGTTTTAGTTAAGAATAAATTATTGGTTATTAATTCAAAAAATAATTGAAACAATCTTTCTTTAGGCAATAGGAACCAATAACAATATTGAATTTAATTTTAATATCAGAAAAAAATACAATGTAAATAAGTTTTAAAGAATATTTTTAGATGTTTTGATGAGTAATTTTAAAAATAAAATGGTAATATTTTAGAATATATAAATTAATGTAGATAAAAATAAATATATAAATAGAAGGTAAGAGCTTTTAATGCATCGATTAATTAATATAAACTTGAAATTTTAAATTTTGGATTGAATACAGATGAAATTTCAAAAAATATATTTTTAAATTTTTTATAATAGTATTATTATAAATAAAATAAATAAAGAGAGGTCGTACAGTCTTTTAACCATGACTATATTTCTACATTTTTGCCAAAATAATTTTCTGGTAGTAAAATAAAGAAGAGATTTGACTTTATAAAGCACTAAAAATAATAATACTAAATAAAAATAAGTTATATTATAGTATCTTTGATAAATTAGGGATTTTGTTTGTTTGTTTGTTTGTTTGTTTTTTTAATCTTTTAAATCTTAAAAAAAAAGAAAATATAAATGTTTGATAATCTTAGTACTAACCTAATAAAAAAAAAATGCAATAATCAAAAGACTTTTGCAAGATCTTATATCTATATATACATATATATATATATATATATAGTAGTAGAAACCTATACCATTGGCCACAAAAAAGGTCAAATATTTGAAATATACAATATAATTTTACATAATAGTTGTGAAAGACATTGCTACTTTTTACAACTTCAATTGGGAGTATCCAAGCTCCATGCTTAGTAATTTTGCAATGCTATTCTTAATAATCTATAATAAATATATATATATATATATATATATTTATGTGATCTTTGATTGATGAAAAGATGAATTATTGCTTTACGTTTTCTTTACTTTAGAAAAAAATAATGAAATATGCAATCAATCAAAGATGGTTTTCTCCTCTAGTTTATCCCATTGGTTTATCTCTTAAGTTGTTTTAGTTGTTTTAGTTAAAATTGTGCTATTGTCATAGAAAATACGCAAAAATTCAAGTATGTCTTAGACTAAATTGAGACAAAATATACTATGTGGATATATAAAAATTATGCCAATAGTATATGGATGGATATATTATTACTATTATTATTCATTTCATTCAATCTCCAATTATTTTTTTTTGTACTCTCTTTCTCACATACAAACATATGCAATTTTTTTCTCATATTTTGTCATAAAAATGAATGGAATTAGGTAACCAATTACTAGCAGCTACCAACACTATTACTACTACTACTACTATATTAACAACAAGTCATATTAGGAGAAGATCATGGTTGTAGAGGAGTATGTGTAAAAGATAACTTAGAGTAATTGCTATTTAGAGAATTACTCTAAGTTATCTCTATAGAACTCTCAAAAATTACAAATCACTTTCAGAAATCATTCGAAGTTATTTCATTGAATACAAGTTCTATCAAGATCTTGTGAATTTTATTTTTGATTCATTTTTAACAAAATTAACAAAGTATACAACAAATCAAAGATGAATTTTGTCTCTCCTTCTTATCCCATTGGTTTATCCCCCTAAGTTATTTTATATAAGAGATATTGTTACGGACATCCAACAAAAAGATTCTAAAAATATTCTTAGAATATTTTTAGAAGATTTCTAAAGTATTCTTAGAATATTCTAATAAGTTCTAGAAAGTTCTAAGAGGATTAAGAAAGTAGTTCGAGAAGCTTTTTAGAGTTGCTTCATCTTCAAGCAACATAGAAACTTCTTGAGAAGCTTCTTAATACCCAATATATATAGGAGTCGAGGCTAAAGAGAACCTCAATCTTAACAATACATCTCTTGGAGTTTTAGTTCACCTTTCTTGGTGTTGATCTTATATTCATTTGGTTAAATTAAATTTTTGTTAATTTTCTTGTAAAAATTCCTCCATCCAACTTCTTATTTGGTCTTTTGTACAGTGTATCTATAATACATATAAAGGATACTACCATCTTTTACCAACTACATTTTAAAAATTTAGTTATAATCAATTTTAATTTTTAAAAACTTTATCATTAAAATAATAAAAAAAATTTACTTGATTGAAATTTATACATTGAGACAATAATAGACAATAAATATAGTTAAATCAATCTCTATATCAATGACTTGTTATTTATTTATTGCTTCTTTTACCTCTACTAATATATTTACAAGTATTTTTTAAATTCATTCCATAAAAATCTTATCTTTTGTGGTTAATAAAACATAGATTTTCACAAATTCTTAATGTGAAATAAATGATGTCCTTAAAATGTTGAGAAGAATTCAATGTATGGATAGAGATCTTTAACAAATACTCAAATTTTGATTTGATTATTATAGTCTTTTAATCCAAAAATATTATGCATTTGCAAGTATTGCTTAATATATGATGAAAATTTTAAATACTCATACAAATTAACTTATGCATCAAGGTCTAATATGATTCGATTCAAAAAATAAATAAATAAAAAGACTCATATTCATTTATAATTTCACTAATACTAAATTGGGGTTTTAGTTATTTATTTAATTTCAAAAATCAATACAAAAAATGGTGCCTATATACACATGCAACTTCTTGAACTCTGAGTTCCAAGAATAAAAAACAATCTAAATCAGAATTAAATTGAGTGAGAAAGAATCAACATGACTTTGTAATCATATATACTTGTGAAAAATAATTAAAAAAAAGAAAATAGTGAGAATGTTGTAAGCCATTGAATATTCTGATAAGAAGCGAAAGTGAAAGAAAAAGTATTGAGGTTTGGAACGAGGGTGGAATTGCACAGACAGACTCGGTCTTAGGACTACCACGGTAATACAGACAGAAGGTCCTAATGGCGGGGCACGGACGGAACCCTAACAAGTCGTGTGGGATCGCGCGCCAGATTTTGGGACCAGCGTGTGCGGGAACTTTTTCACCGCCGCGGCTTCTTCTTCATCTTCCGGGATCAAGCTTCCACGCAGCCTCGCATCTCTCCTCTCCTCCCCCCTCACCCGCTCGCTCGCTCTCTCTCTCCGTCCCCATCCACTGCTTTTGATCCCACCTAGATTGGTGCAGTAGCGACCGAGATCCACCATGGCGACGGAGGTGCGTGAGGAGAATGTGTACATGGCCAAGCTGGCCGAGCAGGCCGAGCGTTACGATGAGATGGTGGAGGCCATGGAGAAGGTGGCCAAGACCGTCGATACGGAGGAGCTTACCGTCGAGGAGCGCAACTTGTTGTCTGTTGCTTACAAGAACGTGATTGGCGCTCGGAGGGCGTCGTGGAGGATCATTTCCTCCATCGAGCAGAAGGAGGAGAGCAAGGGCAACGACGAGCACGTTGCGGCCATCAAGGAGTACCGTGGCAAGGTGGAATCGGAATTGAGTACCATCTGTGATGGTATTCTCAAGCTATTGGATACCCATCTGATCCCTACTTCTAGCTCTGGGGAGTCTAAGGTTTTCTACTTGAAGATGAAGGGTGATTATCACAGGTATTTGGCTGAATTTAAGACCGGAGCCGAGAGGAAGGAAGCTGCCGAGGCTACATTGTTGGCGTATAAGTCCGCTCAGGTAAGTCCTATTACTCGGTTTAGTCTAGCCTAGACATTAGTGTCCAGTTAATTTGTTATTGTAGTGTTTTGCAGCCTCGATTTGGTGCTGAGGTAGTTTTTTGCTTTGAGAAGTATGTCTTTAGATTCGATGTGGATTCTAGCTGCCCTTTGAGTCTCATCAGATCCTTGTACCTTGTACGGATTTTATTTGTGCACATTGTCCAGATCATCGCACTTAGATTCAAGGGCTTTATGATCGAATCTACAATTTTTCGTTTTTGGTTGTGTGGATGGGTAAAACTGTACTTCGTGGTCCCTCGATGCAAATGAGATTGTAAATGATGGCAATTTATTTGTTGGGTCGGTGTGTCCAGGATATCGCGTTGACGGAGTTGGCTCCAACCCATCCCATCAGATTGGGGTTAGCTTTGAACTTTTCTGTTTTTTACTACGAAATTCTTAACTCCCCAGATCGGGCATGCACTCTTGCGAAGCAGGTTAGTTCTCGCTCCTTGAAAATATCCCTGATTCGGATTTGATGGCTCTAATTGGTTTGGATATGTTTTCTGCCTTAGGTAGGTTTTATCTCCTCGTGGCTAGGTCATTCGTATGCTGACATTTGAATTCCTTCAATGCAGGCCTTTGATGAAGCAATTGCTGAGCTTGACACACTTGGAGAAGAGTCTTACAAGGATAGCACTCTCATCATGCAGCTTCTCCGTGACAACCTTACGTTGTGGACTTCTGACATGCAGGCGAGTCTTCATTATTGATCTCAAGCCCGAGTGTGGTTGAACATTTATCCGTTTTGGGTTGCGAACCGTCAAGTTTTTATTTGACTTAGTGTTGCCCTTTCTTACGCATTGATAATTTTCTATTACAGGACGAGGTTGGTGCGGAAGATAAGGACACCAAAGTAGATGATGTTGAGAATTGAAGTGCAGACCAAGCTACAACCCTGACTTTGCTCTGTAGAGTGGTGACAGTCAACGCATGACATTCTTTTGTGTTGATTAGTGATGCAATACATGAGCCCTGTCTATCGCCTGATTGGTACACCATGGAATGTGTTTTTGGCAAGACCGGGGGAGGATGGGTGCTTCCTGTTTTGGTTAGTTTCTTGCTCAGTGGCGCTTGTGCTATTTTGATTGATCCTTTTAGCGCAGATATCTATTTAAACAGGCGAGTTTATTTATCCTCTGAATGAAGCATTTGCATGGATTGATGTGATGAACACATTCGTTGTAGATGTAATACAATTTTTCGCTTTTGCGAAAAGCCAAGGAATTTTTAGCTCATATATCTTGTCCATGTGTCAACCAGGATGCAGTTGGTGTATGGTCTACTTGTCTTCCCTGTCATGAGTTCTGTATGTGTAACTCTCGAAACCGAATTGTGTCGGGCTTGTTGTAGTATGGTTAAATAAACGTACTATCCAACGTCTCAGATATTATTTTGATCTGGTCCATCAGTAAGTTCAGGGCCCCTTCCCACCTTATTACTCGCTCTTGTCCAAGTCTGACAATTGTAGCTATTCATGAGATTCGGGTTTCACCATTAAAGTAGAGACTAGAAGTTGGCTGTGGCTTCTTTACTAGGAATTTTACGCTATGTCGATCGATATGTTGCCTCAAGTTTCAAGTGAGCTCTGGAGAATAATCTTGTCCACTTTGTTTGGATTTTTGAGTTAACTCCTGAAGCAGATCCGAATATCTTCAATAATGAATCATTTGAGGTGATGGACATAGAAGACACACAGCATGCCTTCAAAAATTCAGTTACCACCGACTAGAGCGTTTCAGTGCATTCCTTCCTATATTTGAAGATCCGTGAAGCAGCATGGAAGTACATCTATCCCTTGGGAAGAGTTATGTGGATTTAGGAAGAAGCACTTTTCAAGAAGCTATTGTTACAAAGTAGAGAACTCTTCCGCACAGGAAACTTCAACATCTTATCAAATCATGTAATTACTACTCTTCTGTTTCAGTAGTAACGATCAGGGGTCAGTGAATCCACTCTAACCTGACTATGAATATACTATTTTGACTTCCACGCCCGTGAAAGTCATTACGCATCTCCGACATCAGTGAAAAAGAAAAACATGGAACATGGCATGCATGACTCATTGAATAACAAACCTGTCTAAAGGTGAAGTGTATTTATCATCGCCAAAGGCCATTTGCTTCGAGTCACCTGCATCTGCACTCTTCAGCTATCGTTCCTCTCTTTTTTTTTCTGTCACTGCACTAAGTTTCCAGCCTCAATTACTCCCTATCCCTACCTACTCTGAGTGTCTGGAATTAGAAGGTGAGCTTTTATATCTTTCAACGGAGCTGAAGAGATGAAGCCTGCTGGTGGAGACTGCTGCAAAACCGTTATGTGGTGCAAAGAGGAAGTGACAGCCGTGCACATCCAAGCACAGGGCATTTATGAGATTTCGAGCTACATCGGGGCGCAATGAAGGCATTGCCAGCGCAGGTATCTTCCAGAGGTTTGCACAGTTTTTCCGGTTAAGTTTGGTTTCTGGGCAGGTGAAGTGGTGGGAGTGGGAGCTGGGTTTCGCACTTGGGGTGTGGGAAGGAGTGCGGATGTGATGTTCAAGGTGGCGCGAGTGTTCGAGAGAGATTGATTGAGAGAGCCATAGTGAGAACACTAAAACCAAGGACCATGGCGTAAGGCTTTCGATCAGCGAGGACTACTTAGAGAGAGAGGGAGAGCGGGCTGATTTCGAGTTTCTGAACCAAGAGCTAGAGCCGGACATCTCTACGCGTAGAAGGTCACGAAGGATCAACCACCATGGTAGCGAGAATTCTAGCATTGGTTGTCGTTTTCTAGGGGCGGATCAGTAGCAGGAGAGAAGGATGACTACTGGTACTTGGCATGCAGGATTTACGAGGGTACTACGATTTTTTTCTCCTCCACTCACGTTAGACCATTACCCCTCCTTGCAGGCGCGGCAATTGCAGCAAAGCTCAAGCAGAGTTCATATCAACCCAAGTGTTAACCACAATTACCATCTTGAGCATTTTATTCATATGTTCCGGGGTCCTTCACATTCTTGCTAGGTGCTTGGGATTGCGACGGCGCGGCCGGCGGCCGGCGGCTGGGGGTTTTATTAGTCCTAGCGTATACATTCGGGGGCGGCTTCAGCATCTTTTCTCTCTGCACGACGCCGGCGTAGAGCAAGTCGTCATCGACACTCTGCCGACGTTCTTGTATGGCTCAATCAGAGAGCTCAAGGATAGCGCTGACTGTTCAATTTGCGAACGAGGACAGGCTTCGGCTCCTACCGAAGTGTAAACACGCATTCCACTTGGACTGCATTGACACATGGCTGTTGTCGAACTCCACATGCCCCTTGTGTCAGCGAAGCCTTCTCCCAGAAGCAGAATCCGCTGCACCACCCATTGACGGCAACGGACCCACTGGGTTGTCAGTAGACTCACAGGGAGCCAGTCACTCTCGGCGCCATGGCAGCTTTCGAGGTAGCTCACGCTTGAATATCCGCGGCAGTTTTCGCTTCCTTACCGATGCCATGGCTCCTTCTCTGCCACCGCCATCATCTGAGACAGATATAACACCAAGCATCTTTAATCCTGCCGTGGTGGACGTATTCCAAGCATCCCCTCTGAGTCCCGGGCCTACGGTCTGCGGGACTGAGCCTGGCGGCTCTGAAAAAGTTTCCCGAGTAGAGCTCGGCAAGGTGAACACTGATCCTAGGAGAATTGCTCGTGACACGGACAATTCCCAAGGGCCGCGCTCCTACTCCATGGGCTCCTGTGAATACGTAGTGTCTCTCACGAGGTTGGGGCTCGCAATGCCTTAAAAACCCGCGCACAAAACCTCCTTTTCGGACACCATTCCTGATCGTGTAATCTCAAGCTACGCACCAGGTCAGGAGGAGATGTTACTTGCAAGGCGGGATTCAGACTCACCTCACAGATTATCTATGGTGATGTAAACCACGACCCCCAGTCCACAACAGATCATGAATCTCAAACCTCTCTTTCTCGCCTCCAACAACATGAGCTCGCTACGACCTCCGTCTCGCAACGCGTCACCGACACTCCCCAGGACTCCACAGTGCATGGAGATGATTGTGCAAAACAACACCACTAGGGAATTGTCTACTGATTACTCATCAGTCATTTCAGCGCGTGGGACTTGCCTGATGGGTGCATCGCACTGGTATGTTTTTTCGGATCCCATCGTTACTGTGGCCGATCTAGACATCCTCACTTGCCAAGTTTTTTTTTGAAGATGTTTCTTCTGAAGATCATGAATGAAGCTCCTTCATGGAATCCATTTGTCTAGTGAGGTGCAGAATCCGTCTCTTTGCTGTGTTTTGCTCAGAAATCCTTGTGCGGCTCGTCGGTGGAATGCTACGACAGCTCGTTGGATATCGTTGTGTCTCGTCTTTCTGGCTTTAGCTATCGGAGCCCGTCCTCGGCAAACGATATAGGTTATGAGCCTTCGCTTGTATTACGGAGATGTATTCAGTATGCTTCCACAATTTTGATTGAGTTACAACAAAAAAATGAGATGATGTAATAGAAGAGGAAGTGTACGTTTGGTCAGATTTAAAAGGACTAACTATACTACTTGAGGTGTAACGGGATTGTTGTATGTTCTTTGGAGTGTCTTGTAGACTCCAAAAATAACATGTGATTGTTTAGTGTGACAAAGGCAATAGAATTTGAGTTGTGAGAAAGTAGCTAAGAGTGGCGTTGTAACTGCAAATAAATCATCTTGTAGTGAAGCTAGTGCAAAATTTAGGCAAATCAGTTGAAAATGAAACAAACACTACTTGTAATCATGAAATGAATGCTGGTATATTTTAAAAGTTATTTTGTATTTATTCTTATTAACAAAGCTAGACAACAATTACATAAATCTAGATTTTAAACTATTATTAAATATTTTACAACAAAAAAATTTAAATAAAAAAGAAAACTAGATTTGTAATTTATTTTCAGTATATTTTTATTCATATTTTGGTCGATAAGATTTTTTTTGTAACATAGATATTTAAACTTAAAAAATAATATATATATTTTAAAAACACAATCTATAAATTAGTAGAAAATCTAATTAGTTAAATTATATTACATATATTGTAATAAATTATTTATTTAATTTTTTGATTTTCTAATTTTATTTAATTTTAATACTTATACTATATTTAGAATCAAATATGAATCTTATATATATATATTTATATAGACATACAAAAAATATAAAGAATAACTCTTGTTCTATTTTTATACTAATTCAATTTTTCCTTAATAGATGTTACTTTTGAACAAAGGCCTTTATTCATCTTGACATAATATATATATATATATATATATATATATATATACACATATATAAATCATGTACCAAAAGAAATTAAATGCAAAAGAAATTTTCAAAGAGATTTTATACAAATTTTTAATAATATAAACTAAAATTTTATAAGAACTATTTTATTAAAAAAAAAAAATATATAAAATATTATAATTATATTCTAAACTATAGAATTCAATTATACTATAATAAATTAAATATAAAAGAAATATATATGTTTTTTTAAAATAAAATAATTTTAAATATATAAATCTTGTATAAGTTTTTTTTATAAAAAATTATCACATCGAAAATTTACATTTTCAATTTATTAAAAAATCAATCATATTTTTATTAGTATATTTTAGATCATCTAGTTTTTGTTAATTTAATCAAAATATGATATAAGAATATTTTAATTTTTTAAAATTGATTCATAACTTTTATATGATCTAATTACTTTTTTGGAAATATTTATAGCTAAATTTGGAGAGAAAAATTAAGAAATGATAGAAAAAATAAAAATCTAATTTTTACAATAATAATCATGTTTAATTACTATTTATGCCATGAAATTCTAACAACTTACTTATAACGTAGATTGAAGGCAATGAGGCTCTTATCTATTGATTTCTATATGATTTAAAATTAATTTCAAAGATTTATTATTGAAAATATTAAAAGAAAAATTATTGAAATGATTTATTATTTAAAAAATTGTATGTAATAATTGATTCTTTAAAAGGTTCCAAAAATAATGATTTGGTTGGAGAAGAATAAACCAACTAATGCAAAAATAATCTAGGTTCTCAAAATCCTATTCATCAAGGTCAAAAATTACATAGATTGATATAATACAGTTCAAATAGTTGACACTATAGAGTAAAAGACATATATATTTATAAAAACTTGTATATATTGTGAAAAAACAAGTTATAAAATATAATGCTATTGTTAGGGACATATTCCTTAGAACTTTCTAGAGAGAAGTTTCTAGAACCTTCTAGAAAACAAGCCTTTGGAACCTTCTAGAAGAGAAGCCTCTGGAACCTTTTAGAGAGAAGTTTCTAGAAGCTTCTAGAAAGGAAGTCTCTGGAACCTTCTAGAAGAGAAGTTTCTAGAAGTTTCTAGAAAGGAAGCCTCTGGAACTTTCTAGAAGCTTCCTAGTTAATAGAAGTAGCTCGAGAAGCTTCCTAAGTAGGAGTATATATAGGGATCGAGGCTGAAGAGTTCTTCAGTCTCGACAACACATCTCTTGGAGTTCTAGCTCACCTTTTTGGTATTGTTCTTGTACTCATCCATTTAATCTAGTTCTGCCACTTCTTCTTGAACTTCTTGTTAGATTTCAAGTCTGTATTTTGTGTCCATGACAGTTTGTCGAGACTATACTAACTTGAGATATCAGAGCTAGTTCTTTCTTAGTAGAGTGTGGATTATCCCTCTACTTGAAGGTATATTAGCATTTTTTAGAGGTTGCGGATTACCCTCCTCTAAACTGATACTTCTTCTGTTACAATATTGGAGTCTTATTCTTCTTGGAGAGAGTGGATTACCCCTCTTCTTGAAATTCTTAAGGCATTTTATAGGTTGTGGATTACCCTCCTATAAACCAATATTGCCTCTTGTAGAGTCATTTTTGTCCTTCTTTTAGAATGGCCGGAGGTCAAGACATTAGTATGACAAAAAGTTCAGAGTCTAAGTTAGATGCTATTATAAATGCCCTCGCTACATTATCACAAAGAACTGCAGAGATTGAAGGAGTGGTGGCAAGACTTCATAATGATGGGGTATCTGGGATAGCACAATCTAAACTACACCAGCCTCAAACTTCTGCACTTGGAGAAACAACTTTACCTCAGGTTCGACAAGAACCACTAGTTCTACAACATAAGGAGCCTCGAGTTAGCCTTCCGGATAAGTTCGATAGAACACGTTCCAAGTTTCGAGGATTCGTCAATCAAATCAGGTTGATAACAGTTTTACAGCCCGAACGATATCCAACAGAGGAGTCACGTGTTGGGCTTGTTGGAACCTTACTTACGGGACAAGCTCTATCATGGTTTGCTCCTTTATTTGAGAAACGATCATCCATATTAAACAACTTCGAAACCTTTTTGGAAGCATTTTCGGAAGCATTTGGTGAACACGATAAGGTTCGATGGGCTACAACAAAGATCCGGTCGCTACGACAGGGGATGCGTTCTACATCAGTCTATGCTTTGGATTTCAGGCAATTAGTATGCGACATCAATTGGAATGAAGAAGCGTTGATGAGTCAATTCTATTGAGGTTTAAGAGATGATGTGAAGGATTTGCTGTTAACTCTTCCTGATCCACGAACGCTCAATGAAGCTATTAGCCAAGCTGTGAAGTGCGATAATCGCCTATTCCAATGTCACCAAGACCAACGCTCAAGACAACATACAATTTACCATGCTCCAACTGTGTCAACAAGCAGTGTGAATTCGCATTCAGAGGTGGAAGACATGCAAATTGATGCGGTACGCATCAAATCTCTTACTATAGAAGAAAAAAAGCGACGTATGGAGGAAAATTTATGCTTGTATTGCGGTGGAGAAGGCGACAAAGTCGGAAATTGCCCCAAAAAGCAAAATTGAGGCATAGTCAAGACTAGGGGAGTATTTGTTCAGGAAAACGAGGATGCCCAGCCACAGTAGGAACTGTGCGGCTGGACAATGAAATATCCCAACAACAATCAGGTTCCTTTCTTTCTGCCCAACCTGCACTTTGTTTTACAATCCCTCTGTTTATCGGCCCTCAAAAACTGAGAACCTTAGCACTACTAGACTCAAGAGCATCTGCTTGTTTTTTAGACGAAGAATTTGCAAAGCATCATA